AAAGTCAAACCAACTTGTTCAAGCCCTGAGCAGCAAGGGACCACGTCTAGCAGAACAAACACAGCGACAACATATAGTCCCACTAATGGGTCGTGCCAGAACCTGTCATTCATAATCACAATGGACACAGAACTAGAGCTAGCCTTTTCATATTTTTGACTCTAGGGGCCATGGCACGTACATGGATGATGACAAGCTGAAGGCCTCCCTGGCTGGAGTTGTGGAGAGAGTCAACAAACTCATCTGTGTGCAGCCGCTCAAGACAAGGTGAACTCGTAGGCTTCTCAATACCACATTTGAAGGAAAAAATCCCTGCAGTATGAAAACAGCATTAGAATAATTTAGCTGGCTGCCAGTTTTGTTGTAACAGCGTCCCATGTGGTTTAGTGCTTAGGATTTGGTGCTCTCACCCCCAAGGCCCGGGTGGGAACCACTGTAAGAAACAGGAGGAGTGAGTAGAAACAGATAAAAAAACCCTGGTCCTGGGCCGGGTTTCGAACCCACAACCTCCCGGGCACCAGTCCGACGCTCTAAGTCTAACCACTCGGCTGAAGAGCTCTAGACCCATCGGCTGGGTCAGTTGGTAGCGCCTATAAACCCCCCACTGTTACACTGTCTAGACTTGAGTCAGTTTAGATTGAATTGTTGACATGCTATGTATTTTTCACAGGTACAATGGTGAGATTGGTGATGTGGTGGTGGGGAGAGTCAGCGAGGTGAGAAACTTTATCTTTTCATTCCCCCAAAAAAATTTTGTAGGGCTACAATGGTCAGGTGATCCTTATTCAAAGCAAAGGTGGTGCAAGTATAGTTTTGACTCTATTGCTGTCAGAGTAACTGACATTTGGCAAATGGTTCAGTGTAGAGTTACTGTAAGTTGTAACATATGCTGTGTTTGGTATGTGTTTTAAGGCACACTTAGGGTTCATTATTGTCTTTTTCACCTCAACCCCAGGTTGGCCAGAAAAGATGGCGGGTAGATGTTAACTCCAGACTAGATGCCATTCTGATGTTGTCAGCAGTCAACCTCCCCGGAGGAGAGTTGGTATGACCCACCTTAACATACATACATGTACCAAGCACGTTGGCAGAATGTAAGTTGCGGCTGCGCAGAACCCTGTATTTTTATGATTTTCGGTGGATTTTTGGTCAGCGTTGCATTAGAATTTTGCCTGTTGCAGAGGATATCTTTTCCTACATAACATTTGGAAACTACAGACGGGATGTTAACCTTACATGCGCGAATACGACCTTATATGAGACGTTCTGCCAAAGTGCTATGTACAATACATCACTGGTTCGCGCAGGTGCAGTGCGTTCTGCCGAAGTGCTCATGTATGAATACATGTACATGTAGTCACCTAACATAACATCCAGTAAAACAGCAATGGTAGTTACTTTAGTCTATTATGGACAAGTAGGGTTCATCTTTAGTTTATCTTTGGAAAGTTTACAAAAGTTTAGCCTCCACCAATGGAGGCTGTTTTTGAACCCCCAATGTCAGTCTGGTGGAGAAAAACTTCTTTCCCTAGATACTTACAAAAAATTGTAAGAGTCGAATGTGATATCACAGTTTTTTTTTTGAAGTTTTTTCTTTTTATTCATTTCAAGATGTTGTTTGTTTGACTACCTTGTTTTACTGCCTTGCAGAGGAGAAGGTCAGCTGAGGACGAACTGATGATGAGAGAGTACCTCCAGGAAGGGGACCTCATCAGTGTATCCCTTTTAAAGCGTAATCTTTGTCTGGTCTTGATGTGTGTGTTTTACATGTGTTGTTTTAACTATAAACAATATGATAATGAAATGAAACTGTCATACATTATTAATAGTATCAAGTGTTCCTCTAAACATTTTGTCTGGAGACAAGGGGGAGCAAGGTACCAGATCCTGACCTGTGCATGTAGGCAGTAGGCAGTTATACAAGAATTGTTACATGTATGTAGATCTTTTCATGATATGTTCCAACTTCAGTTATCTGGCTACTTCTTATGTACATTTGTGTTGTTTCACTTTTGTTTTTTATCTAGTATGTAATGTTTCCTTGACTGACTATACTAGGCTGAAGTGCAGGCCATTTTCCATGATGGAGCACTTTCTCTTCACACCAGGAGTCTCAAGTATGGCAAGGTACTCATGCAATTACTGTTTTCATGTTGATGTTCAAGTTCACCAGCATTCACTGATAATTCTTTGCTTATCATAACATACATGTATGCACATAATGATGTTTGTCATACTGACTGAAGAGGGTGGAAATGTAGCAACTCAAAGCAACAATATTCACTCAACAATTGTGTGTGGAACAGATCTTTCAAGAGTAAAATTGTAACCAGCAAGCTAGCACTAGTATCCAATAGACAAGATACTATCCAATTGGTCCCAAAAGGAATTCTGTCTTGCTGATTGGTTACAACTTTGCCTCCGAAAGATCTGCTTGTAGATTATGGATTATGGACAGATTTTTCCTTCAGACTTTGTTTTCGTGTAAGACTTCCAGTTAATCAGTAATTGGTTAATCTGGGGACAAAAAAAAGAAAGTTGTGTGGCCTTGGTTTTGTTGTGTCCCAGCTAGCCCAGGGAGTGATGGTACAGGTGTCCCCGTCGCTGGTGAAGTGGCGTAAGACCCACTTCCACAACCTGGCCGGCGGGGCAAAATGAGATGCTTAATGCTGATTGATCAATATCCTAAACTCGAGCAGAGCGCCCTGCACTAGCGAGGCACAGTAAAAAGTATAAAAGGAAGAGTGGTCTGATCTCTGTCATTCTTGAGAAAGACTGAATAAAGTCGAAACCAGTCGAATTCCGTCTCATCGTTGTCATCTTCCCATCGCTATGAATGAAGAAGTAATACTAGTAAGTTTATCTGAGAACCAACAGATCAGTTTAAGTTCTGTCCTGTTTTGCTCCAGCTCTCGCAGGGTGTGAATGGTGCAGGTGTCCCCGTCGCTGGTGAAGCGGCGTAGGACTCATTTCCACAACCTGGCCTGCGGGGCCAGCGTCATTCTGGGGAACAACGGCTACGTCTGGATCAGTCCAACTGTCAACAACGAGAGGGGGGAGAGTAGCGGGGGGTATGAGCAGGATCTGGAGGTGGGTGTATTCATATTGTTATTTATTGTTGCTAGAAAGGTAACATTTGCAAAGCAAATGCATAATGTTTACCTTTGCATATTGTTTGCTCAGTTAATTCTTATTCAAACACATTCATTTATATGGTCAGACAGGAGTCTAAATCCCTCCTGCTATAAAATTGCAACATGATGTAACCCAACACTGGTTACTATGGTAACAGACGACTGGTTCAGGTCGTTGACCTTATTTGTTTGGAGAAGAGGAAGAAGAAACAGAGCAAAAACAAGATGTTTTCCTTCTGGGAAGGTAGACATTAAGTCATTTTTCATGATTGTACAGAGAAGAATTTAAACTCAAGTGGAACAAATTTTCAAACAGGTCTGACCATTTTTAAAGATAAAGTTGCATACATTGTTAGAATTGCTTGCAGTGGCTAATCTGCCATGTCAATTTGAAGCCATCCTTTTGTTGCCTATCTTTTTTGTCAGCCCATTTTGCACAGTTTAAGTCATAGTCTTTCAGACAGACTGACAGAGAGACTGGCACCCCTACGATTGATGATTTTGTATCATGGTACGACCCGTTCAATGTTAAACCCCTTCTGTTTCAGCCTGTTCCATCGGCAGACAGGGAGGTGATAGCCCGGCAAAGAAACTGTATCCTGGCCTTGGCCACCCACAAACTCATGTTGTACGACACAAGTGTACTGTACGCGTATGAAGCTTCGCGTCAGTATCAGGTAAGTTTCTCTTCGCATTTCCTTATTAGACCCTTTGACTTGATCACAAGTTTTTAACCTGCTTCCTGCTGCCTAGCCCTATGAGCTGTAATATGTTCCTAGAAGGCTATCTTAGGATTAGGGAAAATGTTGTGTTTCCTATTTCAATCCTGAAAAAATTAGGGTTGTTAGGTAGGGATTATCTTTTTTTTTTTATTAGACTTTGGCAATCTCTAGTGATTGAACTTATACATGTACATGACAAAGTAAAACTTCCATGAGGACGACTGATTGTACAATGTTTCATCACTCATACAACTATACAGATACAGGAGCTGGTGTGTTATGCCGAAGGGCGGTTATACCGGCTATACAGATACAGAAGCTGGTGTGTTACGCCGAAGGGCGGTTATACCGGCTATACAGATACAGAAGCTGGTGTGTTATGCCAAAGTGCGGTTATACCGGCTATACAGATACAGAAGCTGGTGTGTTACGCGGAAGGGCAGTTATACCGGCTATACAGATACAGAAGCTGATGTGTTACACTGAAGGGCGGTTATACCAGCTATGCAGATACAGAAGCTGGTGTGTTATGCCGAAGGGTGGTTATACCGGCTATACAGATACAGAAGCTGGTGTGTTACGCCAAAGGGCGGTTATACCGGCTATACAGCTACAGAAGCCGGTGTGTTACGCCGAAGGGCAGTTATGCCGGCTATACAGAATGATACAGATACAGAGGAACCTATAGGATATATAGATATTGTTGTTTTGTTTTTGCAGGTGAAGGACCTTCTGCAGCCTGATGTAGCAGAGAAGGTTGCAGATGACACCAGACAGAGACTACAGATGGAGTCAGGATGATCCTCTGTTCTTATGTTACAGTTTTCCTGTTTTCTTACTCCTTTCTAAGTTTGTTACAAGCCACATCTGGCCAGCAATTCTCATAAACTCATGTCATGTTATACATGTATAACTTATACAGTAAGCAACAAACCAAGAGGGTAGTACATTGTATTGTATTGTAATATGAATAAACAAAAAGATCAAGAAACTAGGAAATAATTGAACAGCCTCCCATGTTGGGTGACAGATCACACTGATATTTTTTTTAAATTCAAGAGCATCTACTAGTATGGACTCTGAAGTCTGACAGAAACAGAATTTTTCACCTCAGCAAAGAACGTAAACACACTCTCACTTTTATTTGCCTCCAAGTCCTGTTCATTGGCACAGATCTCTATTCCCAATGTCTTCTGCTCATTTAACCAATAAAACATTTAAAGATTTGCAATTAATATTGACAAAGCCCAATGTGTTTTTGTGAAATTTGTAAATCTCTATGATCATGCTAAATTTTTGCTGCTCAATATTTGAGCTTTATGGTATCTTTTGGTACTGTAGAAATAAGCCTGAAAATCTCTCTCATGTAGCTATCCATTTTCTTACTCCTTTCCAAGTTTGAACAATTTTTCCATTAAAAAATTTCCATAAACATTAAGCAACAAAACCAAGATGGCAGACTGTGTAATTTACAACAATAAAATCAAGGAACTGGAAAATAATTGAACCTCCTTTCTCCTGTTGGTTAGATTTTTTCACAGATCACAGTGATACTTGTGAGAACCAAACTTTTTTACAATTCAAGAGCATGTGGCCCTTCTCTGTGTCCTTTTGAACGTGTCCAGCCATGGAAAATACCTTGGAGAAGCTAGCCTCCACCACTTCGAATGATTGATATGGCAGTTTAAAGTTAAAACTTTTGGTCCAACACAAAAAATTCTCTCACCTAGAGCTTTCCACCAGTCACTCTGGTCTTCCTCAGTAGACTGACCCAGCCACATGACAAGTTTCACTGGGTCAGTCTACTGAGGAATACCGTGACCGTGACTTTTATTGCGCAACAATGTACAAGGTACAAAGTATGGCAGAAATGAGAGAACAAATCTAACAAATCAGTCTACGTAGTACAATACTAGGTGATATGGGATGAAAAGGCACTTATACAATCATTAAAAGAATTTCTTACGTTTAGACATTCTTTAAAATACTGTCCTATTTTCACAATGTATGGATTGTCAAAAGTTAACAAGTATCTGGATTTGCTAGATGAATTCATGGCGAGAAATTCTGGTATAGAAGTTGATATAGTTGCTTATAATGAATTACATATATCAGAATATTTGGGACAAACAATCAAAATATACCAGAGTGGCTGGTCGAAAGCTCTAGGTGAGAGAATTTTTTGTGTTGGACCAAAAGTTGTAACTTTTAACATGTAACTACCAACACAGATGAACTTTCATGATGATATGGCAGTTTGTCTAAGGGCATTCACAGGTAGCCTGGGTGCCATCCAATTTACTAAAACTGGCCTGCCAAGATTTTTGGCTGGCATGGGACCAGCAAGTGTACAGAGCCTGTAGCTAAATCGGCTTGCCAGGCACAAGTGTTGTACTATGAATTTCGTCATGTCTCAGGGGGCCAGTTTCTGTTAACAGTGCCAGTATGTGGCAAGTACTAGTATATCTGATATAGGAATATCCTGCCTTACAGGAAGCATATCTATAGTTTCTAAGGAACCCAGGGACAGGTATTATGTCACTTCCTATCTGTATCTGTATAGCCTGCATCGGCTACATTACACCGATCGACTTGTTACACCTAACCCTTGAACTTCTAACTCTAGGCATTGTTTAAAGCTATCTAATGATAATGCCCCTACTGTACTCCCCTGGCAAATATTGTCCTATATATAGCCAACATGGTTAGTCTGGTAGAGACTAACAATCAGTCATGTTCACAATCGTCTGCAAAACTGGGAAGGCACACTGTCAACACTGGACTGGAATTTTCCTCTGCATTTTTGACCCCCTAAAAGCTATGTGGTGTCGGTGGCGCAACGGTTAGAGCGTTGGACTCGGAACCGAGAGATCCCAGGTTCGATACTCACCGTGGCCCGACGTTGTGCCATTGGCAAAGGTGGGGTGACACCCACCGAGCCTATAACTGTCTAACTGGGTGCCAAAAACACCCTACGGATTTGGTGCGCCAATGTGTCAACATCTGCACATTTGCCAATGAGAGCCGTTAATTATTTTTTTAAAGCTATATCAACAGAAATATTGCTATATCAATATAAGAAATATCAAGAGATGTTGCTTATATTGACAGAAATGTTGTCACATAAGAACCTATGAACTTTTGGACGATTAATGTAGTTCTAGCTCCACAACAACCTGCCGAGACTTGTCTTTAGGTAACTTGATATTACAACCAGCAGAGCTCATGGCAGTCAGCAAAACATGGCCAGTAGGAAGTGACTCACAGTGTCGACACTGACCTTGATTTTACCTCTGATGAAGTGTGAAATGTTATCTTGTTCAGTCAGATGTCGTCATTGTCGGAGTACAAAACTCTTTGCCAGATGTGACCAGTTGTAACCTGTTGATTGTGATACCCTCTTCTGTTGATATCCTTATTTTTATGTTACATGTAACATTACCTTCAATCAGCCTCTGTACAAGCACTCCAAATATATATATATATATATATATATATATATATAGAGAGAGAGAGAGAGAGAGAGAGATGTAGAATATAGAACTTTATGTTACATTACCTTCAATTAGCCCCCATGCAAGAACTCCAAATATATATAGATATGTAGAATATGGAACTTTATTGACACAACAAATGCACAGCGACTTTCGTAAGGTCTTAAACTACATGTAAACATACAGACAGATACGTGGGTACAACAAAATTGGGGATGAGATCACCAAATTATGTTTTCTTGTAGGAAAGGTACAGTTACATGTACATGCACTTGCCAGTTTCCGCCGAATCAGGAAATCCCTGGCAACTTGATATTTAAAGTTCGAATTTGGCACTCAATCAGCATTCCCGGGAACATACGTAGATGACAATTTGTGTGTGCTTCGTGATTAACCGTATGGGGCAGAAAGGGACAGAACTGTTCAAAGCTGCTAGAGAGAGCAGGAAGGCAGACGCTAGGAGCAGACGAAAGGGACTTGTAGAGAAGAGCACCACACAGGAGTACTGTTGCCGATTCTGCGACAGAGCCTGCCGGGCCAGAATCGGCTGTACCAGCCACGAGAGGCGCTGCCCAGCCAGACCCGCAGAGAGCGACTGAAGCTGTAGATCGTCTGGCAAGACAACAAGGGCCCAAGATACATATTCATTGAATATTTGGCGTGATACCAACGTGACTGTGTTGCATAGATTTGCAAGCCAAGGAGGAGGCTATCTATTCTCTACTCTCTACTCTACTCTATTCATGATAGGTGGGAAATAGTGACTTCTTTGAACGGATCGGTGACAAATGTTTTAGAAGATGTTTCGACCTTGCTTTGACCTTGCGAATTGCATCATGCTTCATAAATCATACTTCGCGCCCCCTGGGATTCCATGGATTTTCCCATCATTCCCGGAGATTCCCGTCGTGCCCCGCGCGCCAACATGGCTTCCATGCCAGGAAAAAGTTGCCCTGCCGCTGGAATCTCGTCTTGAACCGGCGAAATTCCGGCGAAATGTGAAGTTTTCAGCGCCACAACAACGCAGGTAAGCCCAAACATCCTTTCTGCATGTAGATCTAGCGTTGTCACGGCTGTCCCACTGTTTGGGAAGGCCCGAACGCTCTGTCTAGGCTCGCTCCTAATTTTCCAAGATACACTTGTTGCGATATGGCGTTGGGCAAGTTGCTAAATATAGAAACGGCGAGTGACAACCGTGACAAATGCGACTGACGCATCCAGACGCCCACTAGTAGTCGCCACTGTGGTAGGAAATGTGATTTGGGCACGCAAAGGAAAGTGCTGTCGTCTGTTTATAGTCGGGCCACTTTCGATCGGCGAAAAGTTTTGGTTTCAGGAAGTAAAAGGGGGAGAGGCCGGGCGGGAACGTCACGTAATGTATGCAGGGGAGGGGGCGGGGTCATTGACCCATTGTGCAAGTTTGCCGGTCGGGGTGTTTGTTTTGTGATTTATATTGGATTTTTCTAACAGCTGATGCAACTTTTCGAATCTCATATGCTGGTCTTAAATTGAGTTTATTTTGTTGATATTTGAAAACAAACAAGTGTGTGTGATGTTATACTGGCAATATTGACAGGTATACATACAGTATACTGGTAGCGTTTACATTTAGCGTAGAATGGTTGCTCTAACTTGCTCCTATGTTTATGCTTGATTGTGTCCGTAGAAAAAAAAGGGCTCAGTTTGGAAAAAATGTGCAGGAAAAAGGACTGCACAAATATGGATTGTAATCCCGGGGCCTGTAGCCTGTGTAGGAACTTGCCCTGATAGTGAATGATAAATGCGATAACCAGAGCCTCAGGGCTGGCACATTTAATAGTGTTGGAGAATTCTGTATCTGCATTGTTAAACCGGTATAACAGCCCAGTAATGTAGCATACCAGCTTCAGTGGCAGTGGTTGCATAGTTATATTACACAAACACCTGTGTGTCACACCCAAGTTTTGACCAGCAGTAGTGTCTATTCCTGTGTACTGTACATGGTGATAAGAAGTTCCACTCTACAATAGATCAATAAGAAAGTTGATGCAAATCTGTTAAGATTTTGGCACACGTCCAATTCTTTTACTTTTGCATTTCAATAGAACCTCCCTAATTTTCACAGATGTTATGAAGACTATGGGATTGGTCTGTTGTAGCCACATGTAGAATGAGATTTTTGTTCAAAAATATTTTTGAAGGACTATAAAGGATGTCAAGTTCAAATGTCTTATATCGTTTGTTCACCAATCCTCTAGACAAACACCAAAAACAATGACAGAAGAAGCAGGGCAGGAAGCCATGCAAGTGCCTTCATCCAGCATCAAGGAGGAGGGGGGGACGACAGCTCTCGGATCAGTCCTGGGCATGATGCTCGGAGACAGAAGAAACATAAAGCAGGAGGGGGAGGCAGCAGTACACGGAACAGCCACGGGAACGGTAGAAAGAGAAAGAAGAGCAGAGGACGAGAGAATGCTGATCGAACAGGAGCAAGCAGAGGGAGGGAGCATGGATCATGGAATGGCAGAGGGAGGGGGAAGCCTGAGGAAGGAACAGCCGCGAGCAGTCCGACCAATCATGTTCGAGGAAAGAAGCTGGTGTGTGAAGAGTGTGGATTGGTGTGTGCATCGCCCAACGTACTGACGGTGCACATGAGATCTCATACAGGTATGTTTCACTATATAGGCAATGACCACATCTATAGTCCTGGGCCATTATGATAAGCCACCATTAGCCCACAGGCAATTCAACCAGCAAATACATCGCCCTACCACAAGAATTTTCTGAGAAAATCACAGAAATAAACAAACAAGCAAACATTAACCCATATTTTCTGGTCCACCCCTCAGTGTATGTACCTTCTCCAGAATTTTGCTGCACATACATGTACGGGAAAAACTTGTGTTGATCAATGACATAAACTGTCATTCTGTGTGATTTTTTTAACCATCTGTCCCCTCTGCCCTCCAGGCGAGAGGCCGTACAAGTGCAATCTGTGTTCTGCTGCGTTCACCCAGAAGGGGAACCTGATCCGACACACGAAGACCCACTCAGACGAGCGGCCGTTCCGCTGCAGCCACTGCAGCTACACCTGCCGCAGGAAGGACGCGCTCGTGGGGCACATGAGAACACACTCAGGTTAGAGAACTAAATTATAAGTGTAGTCAAACCTGATTAAGCAGCCACCTGTTCAGCATAACAACCAACTTTCCTTCTTCCCTAATTTTTCCTTTGCACAAGCATTAAGTAACCTGTCCAAGAAGGCCTGGTAGCCAGGATGGCCTTCTTGGGTAAGTTTGAATGTAATGAATCTGAAATGTCCATACAGGTGCCAGTAATGTTCAGTGGTCAAAAGGCTTTAGTTTAGAATTCTGGTACTGGATCAAATGGTCAGGGGTTTGAATCTCAATCTGTCTATCAGAAATCTTGGCCCTGATTGACCTGATAGTAGCTGCTGTGTCTTGTAGGTGATTTTATGACTTTGAACAGCTTTGTGTTTGAGGAATCATACTTTGAGCATGCTAATACATTTGTACTTCAGTCTGGCCAATTTTGTATATTGTAAAACACTAGGTATGTATATAGATAATTGACACCTGTTCCTGCCTCCCACAGGTGAGAGACCGTACAGGTGTAACTGGTGCTGGAGGTCGTATAAACAGAGGCTGTCGCTCAGAGAACACATGGAAAGGTACGCACACCTGGGAATGTTTCTTCTTCAAATTTTGACTTCTAAGACGAAAGGTCTCTTTGCACTTGCAAAATTTTCCTACCACATGGTTTTCCTCCTCCAATTACAGTTCTTGCCATACATACCCTATACCATTTATATGGCTAACTTTGTGAAAGATATTTTAGCCCCCCCTTATGTGAGAGTAGTATATTAAGAACAGTATGCTAGTAATAAAGCTATACTAGCATACTGTTCTTAATATACTGCTCTCACATAAAAATGCCAAATGTGTCCTGACATGTTGTTACTCAATGATGTTGGGATGTACGTATGGATGGTGTCCATAAGTAGTTAAGTGATGTTACTTTGCATTTGCCCATGTTTTTGTACTTATTCCATGCTGCCTTCCCACATCTGTAGATGCTGCGCAAGAAAAGACATGTTGCTGCTGCAGGCCCCGCCCGCCGACCTGGCGTCCAATGGGAGAGCAGGGAAGAGGAAGAGCAGCGTGCCTCAGCGTTACGTGGAGGAGGATGGGGAGGGCGAGGAGACCAGCCGAGGGAGCGAGGGGGTGGAGGACATGGTGTTCGAACAGGAACACAAGGTGAGCGACAGAGGGAATGAAGGACTAAAGGACAACACAAGCACCAGGCATAGAGAGTGAACTTCAAGGCAAAAAAGAACATAGGCCAAATGAGTGAATGTAAGAGAAATTTCAGTGAAAAATAATTTGTGCCAAAATGTGGGGTTTTACTTATAGTGAACAGGAAAATAGCATGTGGAGGTAATAGACCAATGAGAACTCACTCACTACTGATCCCACTACTGATACTATTCTGTTGTGTTAGGTACACGGTGTTGCTAGAAGTGTGTGTGTGTTGTAGTCGGCCTATACCTGCTGATTTCTGTATTGACAAATACAACTTTGAGCAACAGTTAGATAGAATTATTTTGTTGTTGACATGTTTCATTATTTGTTCCCTGTCCAGAGCCCTGCCTGTGAGCTGGTGCAGGGCCATGTGATGGAGCAGGCCATCAGCAGTGCTATCCACTACCTGGGTGCCGACTCTCTACAGCAGCACAGCGCTACAAAACAGGACACAGGACTGGGCACGTCACCTATCATCAGTGCTGTGTTCTCACAGGTAAGTCTCACATCTCCTATCATCAGTGCTGTGTTCTGACAGGTAAACTGGAATGTCATTCTTTTTATGCCGCTAGCCTCAGCATCAGTGTGTCTAACCCTTGGTGCATTGGGAACAACAGACGATAAACCAGACTTTCCCAGTGCAAGGCCAAGAGACCGTACTGGAACTGCATTTCTTCTCCGTAAGTCAGGAACAGCAGTGGTGTGTATGTGTGTGATTGTGGTTTTATTTTGTTATTTGTTGGAATCTGATTGGTTTTGGTAGTATCTGCACAAAACTCCTGCATCCAGTTTAAACTGGACTTGGACTTCATATAATGAAGAGCTTGAACTTGAATCATGTTGGGAGATGGTTCAAAGACAGCAGGGTCTGATTTTGCTTAGATAGAAGAAAAGAAACACAACATTAATAATTATATAGATTGATGTTTCTTGCTCACAGGGCTTTCCTCGCCCCCCTGAGTCAGATTTGGACCGACCCGGCACCAGTACAGAACACGCTGCTGCTCACAACAAGTCGTTCCGTGACCTGACCTCCCCGTACGCCGGCCACTGTCCCGCCCCGCTACACATGGACAGGGACGGACCCGCCGAGAACGGGCACGAGTCTGACAGCCTCACCAGCCCCAGCAGGTCTGAGGGTTTGGTCCTAACTAGATTACTTAGAGATAGCCAAACCTACATGAATGAATAAATGAATAGTTTATTTTAAAAAAGTACATTGCAGCCATATGCTGAATTACCTACTATTTGTACAATAGGTCGCAATAACAACACACTTAATGGTCTGCTTGCAATTTACAGATCTACAACAGTGGTCTAGTTACAAGTCTGGTTACTGATTTGAATATATTGTGTGATTATGGGTGAGAACCACAACAGATAGAATCTTCGATCAGAGGTAACTACAGTACGTGTGTTACTGACCTAGACAAAATTTATGTCCTTAATTTCTAGCTGTGTATTTACAGAACACTGAAAAAACTATTTCTACCACTGCTGTCACACAGGGACTCCGCCATTGCAGATGAGAACGCCTCGGAGGGCAGCCTCCACTCTCCTGTCAGCAGCCAGAGTCGCGGCAAGCGGACGGAAAGTTCCGGAACCATCCAGGGCCTGAAGGTGGTGGCAGACTGGTTTATTTCACAAATCTTAAGTTTATATTATATATTAACAAGAAAGCCGACTTGTGAAAAGAAACTAGTCTAAGATTACTACTATAACTATATACGTCTATGTTACAACAAAGTATCAATAGTATTAAGTATAAATAGTATAAATTACAGATTGGGTTTGATTTAGATGTGTTTGATTTATGAGTATACATGTAGATACTAAAGCCAGTTGCATGTAAACGTCAACATGTGTATCAGTGAATATTGTTTACATTTACATGTAACTTCATGGTTTCCAACTTACCACTCCAGGTAGTGGATGAGAGAAGCGAGGAGGTGCAGGCCTTCAGGTGTGAGTACTGCCGGGTGCTGTTCCTGGACCACGTCATGTACACCATACACATGGGTTGTCATGGTTACCAGCAGCCTCTACAGTGCAACATCTGTGGTTACCTCAGTCAGGATAGGTACGAGTTTTCCTCCCATATTGCACGGGGAGGACACCACTGACTGGGGTAACTGGGTTTGAATAGAATCTTTTCTGACAGAATGACGTAACCTTGTGAGTCAAGGTCAACTGGAATAGGAAACATTTTGCTAGCTCTTTCAAAGTGGTGAAAGAACAAGTTTTCTACTTATACCCCTCGAAGGTTGTTGGTAGCTTTATACAAACAAAAAATATTCTGATAAAGGCTCTCATCAGTTTTGTCCACTGCATGCTACAAAATGTATTGAAATGGTGGCTTGTTGATGAATTTGGTCTTAATTTCAGGTGAGGCAAGCCAAGCTAGCCCTTATGGGTTCATAGTTCATAGGTCATGACCTTCACAAGGTCATGCCACTGTCCAGTACAGGGTGATACGATTGTAAAGAAACCAGGTAACAAAAGGTCACTCGCTTGGTACGTTGATGAAGGAGAGACATACAGACAGAACATTACATTATATAATACGAAATAGATGAAGCACCTGGATAAATTCTTGTTTCAGATGACATGCACTATCTGTCATTGATGACTGAGAATCAAACATGTTGAACTTCTATGTGTATGATGTAAGTTAGCGGATGCTACCTGAAACTTCAGACTGTTCAGAGAATTTACCCAGTTGTTTCGTGTATGGACTCTCTTGACTTGGTGCCCCAGCCGGGTACTGGTTCCTGCTGAGTGACTTGCCTTGTCAGTCAGTTCACTCAAGAACAGCTAGCCTTTTTATCCAGGTTCATTTCGTAGTGATATAGTCAGATTTTTATGAGCAAATTGTTATAAATATGTACTTCATACAGGTGGCCAGAAGTGTGATCATGTGATAAAAGATACTCTTTTATAGGCAAACCAAATGGATGGTTGTATACAAAAGATTATAAAGTCTAGAATTTAATGCTGAATTACTATATAAAGATATGTCCAGAGTGCCTAAGTGTACTACTGATAGCTGCTGCTGAGGTGAGGTGTATTGGTACAGGTTAGACTTTATTTTAAGCCTGCAGACTGCTTTTAACAAGTGTTTTTGAGGAGTGAAGTGACTTCCACGTCTGTCTGCTGACTGGGTCAGTTTTTACGTTATTTTTCCGAGATTTTTTGAAAGTGATTTTTTTTCTTGATTGCAGGTTGGCAGGTTTGTCACACACACATAGTGCTGCTATATATAGTAGGAGTTGTGATTCTGCTTGTTGCATTTTCTCTGCCTTGTGTACCTTTAGGCCTGTCAGCTTTCTAAACTACTTACTCTGTTTCAGAAGGGTGCCATCAACAAGGTTTTGTGGCACCGAAAACCCAACATTCTAACTCCATACACCCAATATACTGTAATTCACTTTATGTTCTTGGTAGCAAAATTTAATGGTCTGAGAAAAATGGACATGTTCAAGGAACTATATGTTCACGGTGGTGACAGGTCCAGGAATTATTTGTTAACTGTAATGATAAGTTCACTGTACAGAAGCGACAGTAAAAACAGTGAACATAAAAGTGCCGTGAAAAAAATCAGGAATTACAGTATACAGACAAAATTAAGAAAAAGAAACAGTTTAAAAAGCTGCTTGAACCAAAGGTATCTAAGGCCAGATTACTGACTGCTGATTGTGAATTTAGAGACTACATCTATGCTGTGAGCAGAGGTTATATATGGGCATGAAATGTCATCTTTAAATTATGTATGAACATTAATTTTTGAAATGTAGAGAGATTCTATCGGTGAATGATGTGTTATATATTTGAGGAGAAAAGAATAGAAATTATATAGGATTCTGACTTATAAACATCTATATCTATACATGATATATACATATATTGGTGAACAAAGAGAATGACTTTTATGTATTATTATCTTAATTTCAGGACAGCATAGCTGCCTATCGTCATGCCTAATGATTTTTACTGGCGTCAGATTATTTACACGCACAGTTATGGTAACCTATGGTGCCTTTTGCAGGTTATCTCGGGTGGTTTGAACATTGAATTAATTGATTTTGATTAATTTAGGTACTGTGATTATCTTGTTTGCAATTGACTGATGTATCTTTAAACAACACCAATCTGAACCATGGAAAATATTCCCCAAATGGCATCATTTTGTACATGACCTTGAGAAAGGTCATACAGTGCCTTAAACTTTGTTAACGTGAGGGAAAATTTCTACCAAAGTCACCTCAGTGCCAGTTTAGTTTGTTTCACTAATGAAGGTCATTAATCAAGGTCACAAAGATGGCTGCCTCCAGTCATGTGATGATTGTACTGATTAGCAAACTTTGATAAGTAGAGGAAAAGAAGAAATGTGATTTTCATAGTGTGGACACAAGACGAGAGATTTTAGATTATGACTGTTTCTTAAGAAACACTTTTGGTTTACCAGGAAGGTTTTTACAACAAGAATTTGTCGTGATGCGAGATATGGGGATTACATGTCAGATGATGTGTACTTGAGTTTGATAATGTTGATATCCATGGTGAGACATGATGGTTATAGAGATGAGAAAATCTGCTGCTTACAATTGGTTTGAAATCTGTGTCTCTCCTTTTTAACAGTTGGATCTCTGGTATGTCTTCTGAAATAAAAAGTCACAAGCAGAGATGTGAAAGAATAATTATTGTTACAAGGAGGTACCAGCAAATTAAGGGTACATGTAACTGTTAGGTTGGATGTGGAGGCTGAAGTCTTGATGGCCAGTATTGAGACATGTCTACTCTAAATACTTTTTTCAAATTTTGCTTTTGATGAAACAAAAAACATTTACCCGGTCAGATTTCATCTATATATACAAGCATGGAATATGTTTGGGGATGTTGCCAAATTTTCCTATGAACAAAGTGGAAAACAGTTTTTGCATCCTTGACTTGGAGCAGCCACTCAGAGACCTTATACGATTTGTCAATCAAATTACATGCAATAGACAGTGCCACTTCATGAACAGGGTCACTTGCGTAACGGCAACAGATATCTAATAACCTGCATCAGATAATTCTGTAGTTAGTATGCTTTGGGCAACATGGCAAGATATGTCTGACCAAGCACAGGCAAGTCTACATACATGTATTGGAAGAAAGAGGCCATTCTGGGAGCTACATGTATCTTTGGTAGCAGAATAGATTTCTGTAAAGATGGGATATAATATAAATTGATATCTATCCCTTTAAGTACACCTGGGTCATAGGGCACAGTAAAATGTACACTTACAATACTTAGGGTTGAGGACTTGATACATTATTTCTTTTCTTTCCCTCCTTGTTCTCATACATATTCTTGAACAATAATACAAAGTAGAATTACCCTATTGAATAATGCTTTTGCAATGCCACTATCTTTTGGATAGGACCAAAACTGCTGGGTACATACATAATTGTATGTAGACATTCTAACCAAAATCAGCATCAATGAAGCCATTACTAACC